CACCAAAGCCCACCTAGGTTTCCATGGCTTGATACATAGGCCAAGGCTTGATTATAGGTAGGGGTGAGCATTTGATTTATTCGGTTAAAAACCAAACCGAATAAATCAAAATTTATTAAAACCGAAATAAAGAATGAAAATCGAACCGAAACCAAATTACAATAAAACCGAAATAACCGAACTGAATTTTTCAATTCGGTTAAAAACTGAATTTAATATATATATATATTATGAAATTGAATTTTATTATAATACATTATATATAATATATTAATATATAAATATATAGCATATTATATATTAAATGTTATATATTGTATAGTATATATTATATATTATATATTATATATTATATAATGAATTCTAGTTAATTCAGTTTTTTTAGTTAAATGAATTTCTAAATTTGAAAATCGAAACCGAAAGCCGGACTTCCTAAAAACCGAATTAACCGAACCAAATTACCCAAAAACCGAAAAAACCAAAACCAAAATTTTCGGTTCGTTATTTCAGTTTTAACCGAATAATGCTCACCCCTAATTATAGGCCTATATATACTAGAATTAAGCCTAACTCGGCCTAGGCCGGACCATGATTATCCCAATATGGAGGTGATCTTCTCTAGGATCAACCACTCTATTTCATGTCGTTGATCCAACAACCACATCAACCTGGCCCAATTGACTAGTTCAAAACCCATGGATTTTGATGAGAACCTATCTGATTGTTTATACTGATTAATTGGGGCCCCGTTTGGTGTGTCTATTTTACAAGTTGTTGGTTGTTTAGAAGTCTAGCAGCTTGTATTTTCATATTTTCCTGTTTGATTGGAGGAAGATTTAGTAATCAAAAGATTCAACCCCAAAAAGATGTGAGAAACCCATTTTGGAAATTTTCCATATTGTCTTTGCGTGGAAAGGCACGCCTCCGACTAGGGGTGAGCAAAAAAAAAAAAAACAAAAAACTGGACCGACCGAAACCGAATTGAAAAATTAGTTAACTAAACTGGTCGGTTCATTTTTTTAAAAGGGTAAATTACAAAGACTCCTTGTATTACGGGGTCTATGACAAAGACCCCCCTGTACTTTATTTTGCGACAAAGACCCCCTTGACCGTTAACTCAAATTATGGAATGCGTTAAATTACCAAAATACCCCACTAAATTTTTTCTATTTTCTTTTTTTGCCCTTTTTCTCTTAAAACCTATTTAACCTATTCACTGATTGATTCGGTTCAAGCGACAAAGCCTAGATACAGATTTTATATATATTGTTATATTTTATTCTTATCATTTCTGTCTATCCTATTTTGAGGAGTGTATCTCTTCTCTTTCTTTGATCCCATTTGGTATGCCTCTTCTGTGTTGCAGTCTTGAAATGGTTAGTTTGATTCAGAAATTGAAGAGACCAGGATAGAACTTGAAAAGTTTGAATTTCTTTTATGTTATTTCCCTCTCTCTCTCTCTCTCCATCTCTCCCTCTCTCTCTTATTCACACTCTATTCTAATAATTCCTTTTTTCTGTTGGTATCAGAGTGGAGCAATGGAAATTTTCCACAAAGCCAAGGCTGTTTGTTTTCGGAACCACCACGAGAAGTACCTGTTCGCCGAGGAAGACGAGGAATCAGTATCCCAAGACCGCAATGGTTCGTCTTGGAACGCCAAGTGGGGTGTTAAAAATCAAAACTAAAAATCGAATTAACCGAACCAAATTACCCAAAAACCAAAAATTTCAACTCGGTATTTCGGTTTTAACTGAATAATGCTCACCCCTAATTATAGGCCTATATATACAGGAATTAAGCCTAACTCGGCCTGGGTCGGACCATGGTTATCCCAATATGTAGGTGATCTTCTCTTGGATCAACCACTCTATTTCATGTCGTTGATCCAACAACCACATCAACCTGGCCTAATTGACTAGTTTAAAACCCATGAATTTTGATGAGAACCTATCTGATTGTTTATACTGATTAATTGGGGCCCTGTTTGGTGTGTCTATTTTACAAATTGTCGGTTGTTTAGAAGTCTAGCAACTTGTATTTTCGTATTTTCCCGTTTGATTGGAGGAAGATTTAGCAATCAAAAGATTCCACCCCTAAAAGATGTGTTTTTTTTTTCAACTTTTTTCATATCGTCTTTGCACGGAAAGGCACGCCTCCGACTAGGGGTGAGCAAAAAAATCCAAAAAACTGAACCGACCGAAACCGAATTGAAAAATTGGTTAACCAAATTGGTCAATTCATTTTTTTTAAAGGGTAAATTACAAAGATCCTCTGTATTACGGGGTCTATGACAAAGACCCCCCTATACTTTATTTTGCGACAAAGACCCCCTGTACTATCACCGTGAGACAAAGGCCCCCTTGACCGTTAGGTCAGATGATGGAATGCGTTAAATTACCAAAATACCTCACTAAATTTTTTCTATTTTCTTTTTTTGCCCCTTTTCTCTTAAAACCTATTTAACCTATTCACTGATTGATTCAATTCGAGCGACGAAGCCTAAATACAAATTTTATATATATTGTTATTTTTTATTCTTATCATTTCTCTCTATCCTATTTTGAGGAGTGTATCTCTTCTCTTTCTTTGATCCCATTTGGTATGCCTCTTTTGTGTTGCAGTCTTGAAATGGTTAGTTTGATTCAGAAATAGAAGAGACTAGGATAGAACTTGAAAAGTTTGAATTTCTTTTATGTTATCTCCCTCTCTCTCTCTCTCCCTCTCTCCCTCTCCCTCTCTCTCTCTCTCTCTCTTTAAATATATCCATTAACAGTCTGTAAAAACCAAATTACCCAAAAACCGAAAAAACCGAAACCGAAATTTTCGATTCGATATTTCAGTTTTAACCGAATAATGCTCACCCCTAATTATATACCTATATATACTGGAATTAAGCCTAACTCGGCCTAGGCCGGACCATGATTATCCCAATATGGAGGTGATCTTCTCTAGGATCAACCACTCTATTTCATGCCGTTGATCCAACAACCACATCAACCTGGCCCAATTGACTAGTTCAAAACCCATGAATTTTGATGAGAACCTATCTGATTGTTCCCTAGTCTGATGATACATCTAATTCCAAACCAACTTCGCCTTCATCCATCTCAATTAAGTACATTCTGCAATCGATACTGACTTATTAGTGGTTTTCTGTTTATTTCGTTTCTTTTAGTGGTTTTCTGTTTATTTCATTTCTTTCAGTTGAGTACATCTTTTGAAAATTCACCACCAAAAGCCCGATGGCCGGACAATCTACTTCCATGTTATGGATGATAAATGGAAATGTTGACGACACCATTGAATGTTCTTCGTTCATTTTCAAGGGGATTGGAGTGTATGAATTGAAGCAAAAGTTGGAGGAAGAAACAGGGATCGAGGACATCACTGTGTGCTCTCGCAACCCATTACAGGGGGAATTGGATTGGAGTGCATGAACCGCCGCTGTTGTTCATGTATCGTGAGGTCGGGTAAGATGAACAATGTTTTTCTCCATTGTCCGAATAGTTATTGAAAGGGTAATATGGGGATTAAAAAAATATGATAACGGCCTTTTTGGATGGAAGACTAACGGAAGGGGGCCTTTGTCTCATAGTCATAGTACAAGGGGGGTCTTTGTCGTAGACCCCATAGTACAGGGGGGTCTTTGTAATTTACCCTTTTAAAAAACCAAAGGTTCAAGTTCGTTTCCGGTTAATGAATATAGAAAACCAACAATTAACCGAATTGACCGCTGACTAATCGAACCAATATAAAATATATAATGTTTTATATATTTTTATAATATATTATAAAATAAAAAAACCAATGAACTGAACCGACGGTTAATCGAACCAATCAATCAATTGGCTTCAATTCAATTCTGGTTACCAATTTTCAAAAAATCAATAATACCAATTTAGTTTCAAAAAAAGCCCCACGGTTCAGTTAACCAAACTGTAAGCACCCCTACCTCCAACCAAATAATTTATGGAATGTTAACATCTTTATATAAAAGCCGATTATGTCTTTTGGCAGTCACATCTTTCAAAAAAAATTTTGCCAAACGACACCTTGCTTTTAAGTTTTTCGGCATTATAGATTTTCCCACGTGTATCCCCTCTCTTCTACCGAAAATAGACACGTGACCAATCAGAGATACACGTGCCAGCCATAACTCATAAATACATAAAATTTCAAATAAAAAATCAAATGAGGACAAGATAGGGTGATCACGTGCGAACAACAGCCAAGAAGGACACACTCACTGGACCATCCATTTTTGTCTTGAATTTTTAAAAACTTTTTAACTTTTTTAAGAAAAAAATAAATATGCCGGGCTTTTCAGTTCTTGAATTTGAAGTTTTGAACCGATCCGAAGATCAGGACGAGAGAATATTAAAAGACTAAAAGGTCCCTCGATCCCCCCTCTTTCTTTTTTAATTTCCTAAGCAAAAAGAATATTTACAGCATCAGATGATTCCTACCTCTACTTATGAACCGAAACTTTACAAGGTCAAAATATCTTTGTATTATACGGAAAATGTCCGCATAAATTTATGTTTATCAACGAGCTCTTTGGCATCAGAAAAAACTGAAATTTCAAATTTGCTTCAATTGTATTTGCATGTGCGACACTATTCATAAGTCATAATTGATGCCCCACACCTAACAATCTGGACCCTTGAATCGAGGATCAAGATCAAAAGTGCTCAGTCCAATCATCAAGAGATGATCAAAACGGCTGATCTTGGATCACGTGAAGCCCAACCTCCATTTGTGAGCAATCAAAACTATCCTACGCGTGGTACAGTACAACCTATGCTGTAGGCTGCTACAGCCTAAAATTTGAACTGATCAAGATATTTAATTTAGGAAAGATCTAATGGCTGTGATAATCGGATTAGGTGATAATTATGAGAACAGTGCATATAGTTGGGTAAAGGAAAGTTGCTACGGGCCACACCACAGAGAGGAGTACTGTGATACTGTCTCTGTATTTAATCTGTCCGATGAGGTAATGAGGCCAAATCGAGGCGTTGGATTTCTCAAAGACGCTCTAGGCGTTAGTGTTCCTCTTTTTAAAGCTGAAACCTAATTCACGGTTCCCATTAGTAACTTTCTCTCACTCACACTGATGAAGCTCTGATTTTGGGGGAAAATAAAGCAATTTTAGTGGTGGGGAAAAGTGTTTCAGTTGCTAAAAATGTTCATTGCTGCAATTATGGTAGCCTGACTGTTGGTTCTGGAGCAGGTTCAAGATGCAGTCCGACTTGGTTCTGATGAGGAGACACGAGGAACAAGGACACCAAGGCAAGAAAATGCTGAATGCTGGTAGTGCAGACGGAATATGGAGGTGCGGTTCATGATGTTTGATTTCTTTTTTCTGTTCTTCTGGAATTTTGATGTCTTCACACCAGCTTTTGTGGGTTCTTTTTCAGAGAAAAGATGATGAAAGGGGACAATGGTTTGAAGACTATAGAGTGTTTAAGGGGAAGATTGCTTGCCGAGAGGGTAGCCTCAAGGGTGGCAAGAGAAGAAGCAGAGCTAATGGGGAACAAGGTCTGTTACTCTTTCAGTCATTTAAATGTTGATAACTTTATTCTGTAATGGGTGTGGTTGTAGATTCTTGTGATTGCTAGATTTTGTTCATCTCTCTATGTTTTTTTTTTTTTTTTAATTTCCTCCTCATTTTCAAACTCTTGGTCTTGGATGCGTCAGCTGATAGAACTAGAGAGGCGAATAAGAGCAGAGATCAGATCTAGGAACAGAGCCGAAAGAAAGCTGAAACTACTTACCAAAAAGCTCGAATCTCTGAAACTTCCGCATGTTCTAGACTGGTCAAGTTCATCAGAAAAGAGTGAAGATTCGCGTAGTTCATCTACAACCTCATCTGGACGCAAGGATCCTGACCCCATAAAATGTGGCTGCATAGAAGAAGAAGAAGAAACAAGGAATGCCAAATGTCCATCATCAACTCCAGAAGGTCCCAGAAGTGATGATGTTTCAGAAGACAAAGTTGCCAAGCTGGGTCATGGAGGGATTTCGAATTCAGCAGAAATTGTTCATTCTTGCAACAACAACAGCAGCAGAGATCCTTCCCCAGGACAACCCTGCAAGATTGAAACCATAAGTTCAAAAGAGTTGGTGACAGACGATGCCAGGTACCTGAATGCAAGCTGTAGACGCCAAAGGGAATTCCAATTACTGCCTTCGTCTTTTCCTTGCCTGTCCTAAAAATTTCAAAGCAGTTTCCTGTTTGTTTCTAGGAGCTGGACAGACAATTTACGGATATCGTCGATGATACACTAGCATTAATTCCAGTGAGTACGTCGTCAGCTCTGATTCACATATCATTAACGTCAGTGTTGGCGATGTTCTTGCTGCTCTAGAACATGCCAGAGAGCACCTTCAGAATTCAATGGGGAGAAGAGAAGACATTACTGATTACTCATTCTCATTCAGTTGCTGTGTGTAGTTTCTAGTAGAAGAGTGTAAGAGACAGAATTCCTTCTCTCTATAATCTTGCTTAATTTTGGTAGTGGGGAGAGAGAGAGAGAGAGGCCAGGAACCAAACCAGCTCTTTTGTAACTCGGTGAAATTTCCTTGTTTAATTAATAAAGAATAGTAATAACTTGTTGCTCTTTTCCTTTGGCCATTGTTGAATGATCCTCTGGATGTGGGCCGGTGGCCCACAGCCCACTCAAGACTCAAGAGCCCTGGGCCATCCATTGAACTGTAAAGCTGATATCTAGGTGTTTTAATTTTATAATGACCAGTAGAAGTTGGGTTCAGGATCAGGACGCAGAGATTCAAAGCCTTGGTCTCTTTTGGAGAGGGTAGAGCTGTATCACACACCAAAAAAAAGATGATGTATTAATAGATTTAGATTGATAATAGTACATAAAACTGCCATTTGGTTCGCGGGAATAGGGATCTGGAATCGGGCCATTATAATTCCGACTGTTTGGTTGGGCGGATTTGAAATCCCATTTTTTTATGAATCCAATTTCCATTCCGATTCTTATCAGAATCAAACATACTAGGAATAAAACATTTCGATTTCGATTCCAACTGCAGATCAAACGGGAGTTTGGTTAGCATCGGATAAACCAACCAAACATGTTTATTCATGTTTGAATAAAGCTAATTCTACTTCTGCATTCCCCTGTTTGGGAGTGCTTTTTTAATGAGGTACTATAGGCATTTTGAAAAATATAAGGCAGGCCAAGTTGGCCAGAAACACAGAAGTGCTTTGATAAAAAGTCAAAATTTTGAGCTTAATTCAAAATGAGCTTATTTCCTGAAAAAGCAATTATTGGGACTTATTTCTCGAATACATTTAAATACTTATATCGCCTTATCGGTGTGGTCCCGGCTTAAAATAAGTGCCTTTTCCAATAAGCGCTTAAGCACTCTCAAACAGGGGCTTAACTATTTTATGGCCGTCTTCATTTGCCATTTGAGATAGTTGATTTTAAAATTTTGGAAACTTTTGCTGCTAGGAGCAGTGTTTTCAGTCTTATCGAACAGCAATGTTTTCAAAATCTGGAAACATTTAATCTCAGTGGTCCAGTGGATGAGTGGAGCTTCTCTTTTATTTATTTATTTTGCTCATCTATTACGAATCTACGATGTAATACATGGGACCCATTCCTGAAAACGAAAACAGACAACGAAAAACAAGTTTCCACTATTTTCAAAACCATGACCATGAAAAGTTTAAGATCCTCTCAAATATGAACTAGATGGAGCTCATACTCTTGGCTGTTGAATGAATGCCTGCAACTTGTACAAAGCAATCTGATGCATGATACCGAGTTCTATTTCGCTCCATCATGGCAGTACATACTTCCTCTTTTTCACAGTAAATGTTCAAGCCACCTCTTTTTCACAGTTATTTGGTATATTATTATTTTTGAGCTTTGAACTATGAAAAACAAAACTGACGTGTCAAAATTATTTTGAGCATTTGGTAAAAATATAACAATCTAAAGTCAAAAAACACTTCTAAATTCCAAAGCACAAAGCTTCAAATTGGGCTTTGTGCTCTTGCCTTTTAAAAACACAAATCCTGAATCACGGTGCAACTTGGATGGGTTGGGAAATTTTCAGACTGTAAATGGGTGTGAAGTGTAATTCTAGTATATGTATGGTATCGATGCTGATGTGTGGGTTGGAAGCATCGTTTTCTGAGAAAATGATGTTTTTTTTTTTTTAATTTGGAAATGTTGTTGCTAGGTAGGACGTTTTTTGGAGCAACAACAACGTTCTCTGTTAGGTACCAATGTTTTAGGAAACATTTTCAGCACCGGTACCTATTATCCAATGCCATGTCATGTCCCCGTCACTGCCACCTCATGTCCCTATTGGCAGCAACGAACTACAGCTCCAGCAAACGCCAAATCTGGCATTGCTCCGAGCCATGCCTTCCCAATTTTCAAGGCGTGGCTTGGAGCACCACTTTATGGAAAAATGGTTCCAAACAAACAGGCGTTTCCCGGAGTACCATTTTTTCTAATGTGGCGCTGATGTGTCACCGTTTTCTGGAGCAACAACATCGATGCCAAACAGATGCCTAATCCATGCCCAAAGTGATTGAAATTATTCAAATCAAACAATCCAATTTGCAACACTAAGCAAAAGTGTGCTATATGCTTTTAACACGACAATCCAACTGCACACAAATTATACCAACGATAATAATCCACACCAATCATAAAATACATAGGGTTTACGATCATTCAATACAGATATGGGGCATTATCAAGGTTTAAAATTTTGATACAATATGCTTGTATCGTATCTTTGAAGAATAGATACGAGATACACATGAAAATTGGATGTTTCATCTTTTTTCATGTGTATCGATAGTGTATCAACGAAAAAGATACGACTAAAAACTAAAAAAAAAAAATTAAAGGGGGAAAGCAAGCTTCTTTTCCCTGAAATAAGCCTTCTTTCACCCCCCAAATGACTCTAAAACTCCAAACTTCATTCCTAGAGTGCTATATTTGCAAAAGTTTGCAAGAAACAAGTGTGAACCGTTATTTTTTAAAAGATTTTTCAAATTTTGAAAAAAAAAATATGAAAAAAATTGGTATTTTTTATAATATCTTGTGATTTTTTTTTCTTAAATGTTTAAATTGATGTTGATCTACATTTCTTACATTCAAAATCATATTTTTTTTTTGTGTTATCAGTAGATTTATGGAAATTTCATGAAAATATAAATTAACAAAAAAATTTAAAAATGTAATTTTTTCTCTGCCTATAAAGGCTAAATATATTTTAGATGTATGGATTTATCTATCATATCCATAGAGAAATTAAAATTTCTCCTTTAATAATTTTCTTTGATTTTTTATATTTTTAGAATTAAAAAAATAAATAATAATTAATTATATTTTTTCATTTGGTCACAACAATTGAATATATTATAATTCTATGGATGATCTATCATATCCACAAACCAATTGAAATTTCTTCTTTAATAATTATTATTATTTTTTATTTTTAGAATTAAAAAATAAATAATTAATTAATTATATTTTATTATTTGATCACAATGATTGAATATATTATAATTCTATTGACGATCTATCATATCCACAAAGCAATTGAAATTTCTTCTTTAATAACTATTTTTGAATATATTATATAATGTTTATTTATTTTTTAGAATTTTCGGAATAATAAATAATTATTAATTATATTTTCACATAGAAGTTGTGCCAATACATGTTTTATGGCTGGATAGGAGAGTTGGGTCATTCCCATTATATAGAACATTAAAACTTAAGAAAAATTATAATTTATAAATTACAGTTAAGCATAGGATTTTTAATGAAGTTATAATTAGCTACACTATATTTTTTATAAAATCATTAAAATATATTAATTTAGTGTATATACACCTCAATGAGGTTTTATATTTAGTATTGTTGATGTATTTTTATAATTTATCAAAATATTTATAATGTTTCCAAACGTATCTTAATTTTTCTCCAATATACATGCGTATTCAAAGCATATCCCGATACATCTCTTAAAATTGCCTTTCTAATACACTTAGCATTAATTTGATTGTCTCTTTAACACTCCTGTGTCCCACCTAGGGCAATTCAGCTATTAAGTACTTACAGTTGATTGTCTCTTTAATTTTTGTTTTTGTTTTTGTTTTTGTTCTCTTTTCCAAAGCCAAACCGAACTCTAATTTGAATAGAGGCAGTTTGATCTCCATTTGAATCTTGATTCCAAATTATGTACAAGAATCATCATTTGTTGAAGCAGTTATGAGGTAAGAAGAGTGATGAGTTGGACAACAAGATGGTACCACGTACATTTTTTAGGTTTTCGGTCATTGCATTTGCATGCCAACTGGCAAGAAGATTGCACGGAAAGAAGCGTCGAGATGCTGGGACCTGGAAAGTACTTTTGGACCGTTCGGGCTTGAAATGGTTTTTGGATTTTTGAATAAAACCAAGCACGGAGAGAAGGTCCGTGCTTTTTAGTCACCAGACGACATGACAAGATTGTTTTCAGATAGAAAGAAAGAGGGGCGGATTGGGATTCGGCAAGTTTGTGGATTCCATTTAGGTCCAATCCTGTAGCGGAGAAAGTCCAGAAACAGAATTGAACCTTCAATTTCGCATTCTTTTATCCTTTCGCGGATTTCAGAATTTCTAGGAACTAGGAAGTGCAATCGACGTCAACGGCATTGAATTAGGGGGGAGTTCAGTTTTCATTTCCACTCCCACTCCACGGCTCAGTAACCAAATTGGATTTCCGAATCCTCTCAAACAATGTACTTGAATATTTTGCACACAGAAGGATGTGTGATCCACAAACCCACAAAGCTTAAACTCTGTGTCCAAGCTGAAGCCGGTGGATTTGAAAACTTGACAGAAGTTATATTTTATCGGGAAGCATAATATAAAATTAAGTTGTATTTCTGTCATTTGGATCAAGTTCTAGCTTCTTCTGTAACAAGTTTAAAGTAAGTAGCTTTTTCTAAGCACTTACAATTTGCCCACGAGGTTCGGCCAATAAGGGGCACGCAGTACTTTGGTTAGTTTCTTATTTCTTTATTTATTTTTGGGTTGTCCCTCTCCTCGGCCCTCGATGTTCTTGTTTGCTGGGAAATGCAGATCGGCTCGTGACACGCAGACATTGTCTGATTGTCATCAGAAGCGGGGTCATATCTTTGTCCTACCTCTTGGTGAGATCGTAAAAGGCGCACAGGGAGGACAAATCCCATCAAACACCTTTGAGAAGTAAAAGCAATGACTCAGCTGGCGTTTGGATTTCACCAGTAAGGGGGAAGGATCCCGTTACTCATGTACGCTAATGGTTTATCAACGATCAAATGTTCGATGAAATGCTTCAAAGGTCTTCAAATCTCGGAAGAACATGAGACATTTAGAAAGGCTCTAGAAGGGCTTTTCCTCGAAAATTCTTTAGACAGGGATGACAATTTTCTCCCTCCATGCCGCTCCTTCGGCCTCCCCGACCCAATCGGTATGGAGACTACTTTTTTTTTTTTTTCTTTTTTTCAGCAAAGATAGAAAACTGGAATCATTAAGAGGAAATTAAGGGATCATTTGAATCCCTTTACATGAGTTCACAAAAAAGTGGAGTTAGGT